TCAAGGAGCTGGCGAGCATCATAGCCCAGCCCCTGGCATGGATCTTTGAGAACTCCTGGCACTCTGGTGTAGTGCCCAAAGACTGGAAGAAGGCCAATGTGGTGCCTATCTTCAAGAAAGGGAGGAAAGTGGGTCTGGCAAACTACAGACCCATCAGCCTGACCTCTATCCTGGGGAAGGTCTTAGAAAAGTTTATTAAAGAGGTCTTAATGGACTGGCCGACGCCAACATCCTGAGGGATAGCCAGCACGGGTTTGTTGTGGGTAGGTCTTGCTTGACCAATCTCCTTTTATAACCAGTTTAGCTATCACCTGGACAAGGGAGAAGAGATTGATGTCATATATCTTGATTTCAAAAAAGCCTTTGATCTGGTATCCCATGATCACCTCTTGGCAAAACTGGCCAACTGTGGCCTTGGGCCCACCACGATCCGCTGGCTGGGAAATTGGCTCCGTGGTTGGATCAGAGGGTGGTAATTGACAGAAGTCAATTGTCATGGTGCCCTGTAACCAGTGGGGTCCCCCAAGGCTCTGTCCTTGGACCCATATTTTTCAACATCTTCATTAATGAAGTGGACATTGAAGTCAGAAGTGGACTTGCTAAGTTCGCCGATGACACCAAAGCCTGGGGCAAAGCATCCACACCTGAAGACAGGCGGCCAATCCAGGCTGACCTGGACAGGCTCAGCAAATAGTGAGATGAGAACCTGATGGTGTTTAACACCGAAAAATGCAAGGTTCTCCACCTTGGAAGGAAAAACCTGCAGCATCCTTATAGGCTTGGCAGTGCTACACCAGCTAGCACTACGGAACAAAGAGACTTGGGGGTCCTCACCAACCACAGGATGAACATGAGCCTGCAGTGTGATGTAAAGTGACCAAAACACTGGCTTGCATCCATAGATACTTCTCAAGCAAATCCTGGGACATCATTCTCCCCTTGTACTCAGCCTTGGTGAAGCCGCAGCTGGAGTACTGTGTCCAGTTTTGGGCCCCACAATTCAAAAAGGATGTAGAGAAGTTTGAGAGAGTCCAGAAGAGAGCCACGTGCATAAGCAGAGGTCAGGAAAACAGACCTTATGACAACAGGGTGAGATCTGTGAGGCTCCTTGGCCTAAAAAAGCGCAGGCTCAGGGGTGATCTGATGGCCACCTATAAGTTTATCGGGGTGACCACCAGGATCTGGGGGAACATTTGTTCACCAGAGTATCCCAAGGGATGATGAGGTCGAACGGTTATAAACTACTGCAAGACCATTTCAGGCTGGACATAAGAAAGAATTTCTTTACTGTCCGAGCCCCCAAGGTCTGAAATAGCCTACCATCAGAGGTTGTTCAAACAACTACATTGAACACCTTCAAGAGAAAATTGGATGCTGATCTTGCTGGGATCCTATGACCCCAGCTGACTTCCTGCCCTTTGGGCGGGGGGCTGAACTTGCTGATCTTCCGAGGTCCCTTCCAGCCCTGTCTATGAAATCTATGAAATCTAATTTGAAAGGCAGAAAATCGATAATTAGACTAGAATTTGTTTTTAGTGGCTATCACTGAGGCCAAATACACAGCAAGGTTCAATGTAGTTTCATAGTTTCTAGGGTCGGAAGGGACCTGAG